CTCTCTCTCTCTCTCTCTCTCTCTCTCTCTCTCTCTCTCTCTCTCTCTCTCTCTCTCTCTCTCTCTCTCTCTCTCTCTCTCTCTTTCACTTACTCATTACCCATCCCCGCGTAAAAACTCGAGCAATTTAATCATCCCGCCGGAGGACATTCGGTATGTGCTCCGCTTGACTAACGAGCGTCCATCAGACGACTCTTTCGTCTTCATTTGAAGTGGACGTGCACACGGGACGCGGAGGCTGAACTTCGGGATTTACTTCTTCGCGCGCCCTCTCTTGGCGAGATTATACGCGAACGCGCGATGATACACGGGATGCCAGCGCGTTGCGCGCGTTAAATTTTAATCTGGCAGAAATTGAAAAGCCACGCTAAATGACGACTTTCGGGCAAAGTAGATCCGCAATTCGTTCCGAAGAATCCGTCAAATCCATCACGTTATTATTTAGTACGTTATTACTTAGTAAAATTGCAATATCGTCCAAACGGCGTGAAGAATAAGAAGCGCGTTTCGCCACTGTAACGTGCCAACGCTTAACAATTCTCTCGCTGGCTCGAGATCACTTCTCACCCGGGAAAATGAGGAAACTCGCTTGGAACTTGCTTGAAAGAAGAAAGAGAGAAAAAGAGAGAGAGAGAGAGAGCCCGATCAATTTCTAAAATATAAAATTTTAAATTGGCCCTTCCTTTGGAAGAGCGAGAGTTTCGATTTTCTCCAACACTCGCGTGTCCCAGAGGACGGCACCGAATACCCGCGAATTACAGCACCATTCTGTGGACTGAAAGACTGGATAGATTACCTTGTGCTTGTCGACGTGCACCGGTCTCAAGTGACGATCGAAGAGCAACTTGTCCGGCTCGATGTTGATGGGACTTTGCCGTCTCCCCTTGCTGCACAGGGACCACTGCGGATTTATCAGACCCCAAAACGAAGGTCCTGCAATCAAATGCAACGCAAACGTATTTGAGCGCGCGATCTCTATTTCTTTTTTTTCAGTATGAATTGTGAGCGATTTCGAGAACCAGCTTTTCAATTAGAGAACCTGCCTCGCGGTTAATTCATGAAAATATCCGCACGTCCAACCGGAGGGTTGTCGTAACAGGTCGTAACGAGACTGTGATGATTACAAATGCTTTCGGGAAATAGCGATCTTTTTGGGAACGCGTGCAAACGCATCCGGGGAAGAGCAATGTCGCATGCGTTATTTTATCCGCGAATTTCGCGCTGTTGTATCGTACCTCCTAGTGTCTCGGAGACACAAAAGCCCAAGCCGGGGGAAACTCGGTCGCGCGAATCCCCGAGGGATGGGATTCTTATTTTCTCTGTTTGTGTATGAATCGTCGTGTCATGTGTCAACCGCTCAGAAATCTGAAATTTTTATAATTCCAACTTTTCCGGCTGGTCGTGCGGCCGACCCGCCCCTTGTCCGGTCCGCGCGTCAAGTTTCGTCGGGTAAAAGGGATTTTGAACTCGTTTCACCGTTCGCACGCCAGGGACCGACACAACTCCCGTCCTCCCTACCTTCTTTCGAACCTCCCGATACTTTCGTCTTAGGGATCGACCGACCGACGTTTTCCGGCACTCCTCTGAGAAATTTAACTTTCTTCACATCGCCTGCGCTAGGGTCGATACCCCGGGAAAGCTCGAGCAAACAGCACGAGCGAAGGCTGCGAACAGTGATTGTGTCGTATATAACGCTCTGAAGTATCATTTATATTTACGCAGCTAATTCAACGCGCGATTTCTCACGATGGCCTTCTCATCGGGGCCAAAGAGCGTTGCTCTTATTCGTATCCACTCGTGCGACTTACACTCGGTATCCCGTCCGACGCGGCTCAATTTATCACTTCACACGCTATAACTCTAACAAAAGTTATAAGTCATCCTCTTAATCCACTCGTCGCTCTCACGAGGGATAACAAACAGACTTTCCTCGCGCGTCCTGAAATCTTCTCGCCCCCGGAGCTTCTCGTTTCGCTCTCCTCCACATCCTTTTTGCAAAACCGCCGTCCCGACGACTCTCGCGGGACAGCGGCTCGCTCGCATTACAAGTGCGGATAATAAATTATTAGTCGTATAAACAACTCACGTAAGCAACGCTTACGCTGGTCCGCGCGGAATCTGGCAGCGTGACGTCAGCGAGAATGCACACATGTAAACGCATCTACCGATAATCCGAGGCGATTTGATAGTCCGAGATGTGTTATCTGCCCGAAGAATATCGACTGCTATTGCGTTTAACGGCATGTATTCGCTGATTCATTTGCAGAAGAAAGATGTCACAGGGATTACTCGCGTGATTGATGTGCAATTACACGAGATAATCGCGGAATTACAGCAAATACGATACTGCAACATTTCGCGTTGATAAAATTAGTATCTAGCTCTTTACGAAATAATTCGACGACAGATAATGATGGATCGAAAGGTTTATTCTTTCATTTCTGCATACTTATAATGTGCATAAAAAATTACATACTGCTTTCAAATAAATGTTATTTGTCTCAAGTATTTCGTAAGTTCATATATGTCCGCAAATCTATCCTGATAATAAAAATTCGTTCAAAATACATTCTGAATCCCAGTAGGTTTAGCATTTCAGTCGATAATATAAACCCTAGAACTTTAAACATGAATAAAATTTATTCAGACCAATTTTCTGAATGTTCTTGAAAATGTTTTTTATTTTTTCATTATAATTTTTACATAACTTTATATTATAGAATTGCAGAAACATTAATATATTCATATTTCTCGACTATTTTTACGTAAATGAGCAAATGAAAATACGTTGGGTAAAATTTACTTATGTTTAAAGTTTACGTAACTTCTTGGCGTTTGGGGTTCTAGGGTTAAATTGAAACACACACACATACACATACATACAAAGTCGGGTTGCTTATTACATGGAGTCTAGCCAACTTTTTTTGAATAGAGTTTTATAATATTCTTGTAACACGAAAACAAATGCTTCTTGTGAGTATATGATAACTTTTCTAATATTTTCCATGAGTATATTTTAATATTATTATCAAGAAAATGTTCTTTGATAGAAAGATAACCACTAGTTAAAAGAAGGAAAGTAAAACTGAGCAATCGCTTTTCTTAGCAATAGAATGATATTCTTCTCTGTATAAGAAATACATGGAAAAGAAAAACGACACGTTTTGACATCAGTTAAATATAATAATTAAATCCGTTATTAAAAAAATGAACCTCTTTTTCTCTCACGAGCTTTGTCCCCTCTTGTCAGATTCTCTCATAAAAAACCACGATTGTTAGTGCACTCGACTAAAATCAAGCTTCATAAATAACACGGCAGATTTTAGAGTATGTAACACGCGCGCGCGCGCAGTGAAACAGGTGTGCGGTAGCGATGTGTTCTAAGCGCACGTGTTAACGTTGAGGATCTATCTAGAGGGGTACGAGGGATGTCACGTAATGACATGCCGGCACGCGAACATAATCAAAACTTACGGCTCCGATAAACGTGCGTATCGGCTCAACGGTGAGCAATCCTCCGGGCGGGTGACACACATGCGTATATGACAACGGTGACAGGTCGACACTTTAGTGTTGCAATGGCGATGCAATTAGCTCCACTATAATTAGTATTTCCACGCCGGCGCACATGTCAGGTCATCGTTATTTTCTGGTTTCTTCTTTGTTTTCTTTTTCCTTTCATCCAGCCTCTCTCTCTCTCTCTCTCTCTCTCACACTCACTCAGTCTGTCTCGTTCATCACGCGAGCTATCTGTACGTGACACATTATCAAACGGAATTTACGCCCTCCCCCTCGTTAACTGAATCCCAGTGTATTGACGTACGTAAGACTTTTGTTCGACGTCACAGTTCGATAAAAGTGCATGGAGAAATGTTCGTGAAAATGTATGTCTACGCAAAATGGTATTGATTTCTCTGTTTTCGAGAGGCTTTCGTTGGACCTTCGAGCGCTCGTCGCCGCTTGATTTCAATGTAAAAGTCACCGTAAACTCCCGCGCCATAAATCTCAATTGGCCGGCGCCGGCGTTGAAAAATGGCCTGATATGACGCGGAGGTATTATTTTTTGATTTATCCTCTGGTCAAGTTGTTGCACATTCCCCCGTACGCTTTTTACAACTCACCTCATGGGTGAGCTAAACGCGGCGCGGAGAGAGTCGCGTATTTGATTTCTTGACGCGTGACAGAGAGAGAGAGAAAAAGAGAGAGAATGAGAGAGAGAGAGAGAGAGAGAGAGAGGGGGGAGAGAGAGAGAGAGGGGAGAGAAAAAGCCGCTATTGCACGATCCTACGGCGCATATATATTTCGCACACTTAGCCTTTCTCGCTTTCCTTCGAGGTGGAATTTATGTTCGCGGGAAACGGCACGCCATCGCGCCGGCCACGCAAGAGTTTATTAAACGACGCACGCGGCGAGGCATGTAAACGTGTTCTTCTTTGGTTTTTTCCTCGTCCTTTTTCCTTGCCCTCACATCTCGGTCGATTCGTCGTGCAACATTCTCGCGTTGCGTACGCGCCCGATTGCACGCCCTCCGCAATATCCCCGTCATATTTTCCCGGTTATCGTGCGCAGTATATCGACTACCGCAATATAGCCTTCGCGTATCTACTTATCAGCGTTACACGTGCTCGCGATTTATTCGATTAAGCTCCTCAAACACAAAGTCCGATTATGCGTATGGACACGCGACCGCGACGGTACTTGGAGTATTTTGTCGGAGTTTACTTCCTACGTCGTCTTCTGGCATAATAGCGTGTCCAAAGAGCATAAACGGTCATACGTAATCTGCGCTGAAACAAAATACATGCCGTGACAGGCAAAAATCTCGAAAGCCGGTCACATTCACGCTACTTATAGGCGTTTTATGCTAAATAACGTCGTAAAATTTTTTACTTATCAACGTGTAAACTTAATGAAAAATCATCGAAATTTAGTCCCATTTAAGGGATTCCATCGAACATTAACGTGTAATTAGTAAAACGTGTAACCAGTAAATTATATTGTTTCAAGATTTCGTTCGAGATCAAGCGGGATAAAATTGGTACCAATGAGCGAACTGCATCGGCCGATTATTGTAAAATATTTCAAAATCGGTGCGCGGAAAGTTTGTCGTATTTGTTGGATCATACAATTTCAAAGTAATTTTTAGTAATCGAAACAGTCACCGCTGGCTTCAGCGTTCCTTTTTTAGTTAGATGGAGAGAAGCTTTCCAACCACGTTCTCTAAAAAAAATTTAAATCGGTAACTTTGTTTAAAACTTAATCTAAAAACGACAAAACTCTCGCGGCAATCTAACAGGGAGCTGTAAACGACATAGAAATGAATCTTTTCATGGCGGCGACTAGAGACCCGCTTTCAGCAGCCAATATTTTCGCTCGCCCGCTTGTTCTGCTCTCCCTTTCCTCTTTTTCAAGAAAAATGTCGCGATAAAATTTGTACAACTCCTAGTTCACGCGTGGACAAAGGTAAACCGTGTTAGCGGTGAATTATTCCGCAAGATACCGCCGCGAGATACGTTATATCAGTTTTGTCGCACACTTTGTTAAGTGCGGTATATATTACGTGTGACAGCAAATTATCAGCTCGTAGAGTGCATCCGTACGTTCCGTGTAGCGGATGTGTAATGTACTATTGGATTATAGTTACATGGGCGGCGTTTAAATCGATTCGCACCAGTGGACGATCAGACCTGACCACATCGGACCGTATTCTATTAAATTAAGCCCATTGTTCTTCGCGAGCATAGCTGCGTTGTATCGGTCCGAGGACGGACCAATTTAAAGCCACGAGATCCAATTAGAGTCGATCACACACATTCGATTGTATTGTTTTGCTGGTCCGGCTAAGTTTATTCAATATTTCACTCGCACGAAACGGCGAGAGGAAGAGCCGATTTAATTAATTTTAGCATAATTTGTTAGCAAAGTTTTCGATT